TAACATATCAACGTGAAACTACATCTTCTATTACCAGATTCATCAATCGTACAAGACAGTTATACTTAAGATTCCTAAACGACCACAACATGATAATGAGCAACTTTCAAGAACAGGTCCAGAACAATTCAACGCACAACAATTATACTTACGACCAACCCCTATATAATATTCATCATACGCTCCATTATAAGGTCAGAACCCCACCTTTACCTTGGATTGAAGGTCGCTTGACAACTCTCCGACTGGAACCTTACTTCACTTCTTTTCCTTATTCCTTTGCTCTGCACTTCTCACAGCCAGTTTCCAACAACTTCCTTATTCCAATTGACCTGATTCTTCATTTAAATAAGACCTCACATTATTATTATTCTTAATTGGCTTAACGACACACCCCTTGTATTACTACTTTCAATCATTAAAATAGGCCCAACATAATTATTCTATTATTTCATCAATTCTAGCATTATTACTATTATTAATCAACTAATTAATTAACTAGTAATGATCTAGCAACTTATACCAACAATTCCCAACATCTCACAACTTCAACAAATAATTTCAAAAATAATTAATTAAATAACGGGCGTTACAACATCTATGTAGGTTGCACTTTTGTCTACAAACATAGACGTTGTTGAACTTGATACTTCTCACACAAGAGGGGGGTGAACTGTGTGATTTGGAAAAACATGGTTTTAAAATTTTTTGGAAATTTAAATTAAAGTTTTAAAATATTTTCTAATTCTAAACAGCGAAAATTAAATATTTAAATTCCATAATTTAAAAGAGTAAAGGAAAAAGAAGAACACCAGAAATATAGAGGTTTGGTCAAAACTAAAGGACATACTCCTCTCTCTAAGACTTGATCTTGAGAGTTTCCAATAATACTTGAGAGCTTTTAATAAGAAAGTCTCACGAATCCCCTTATACAAGGAAATGATAGTTGTCCTACAACTGAAATATTACAAGACGAATGATTGGGTGTCTGCGTCTTTTCTCTAATAATTTATTGAAAGTGAAGTGGTCAAACTTCCTTCTCAATTGTAGATTTAAGCGATTAGTCTTCTCTCCATAAACACATACCTTGTAGCGGTTAGTATTTAAGTTCTAAAATATATGAGCTCCCTTTTGGTTTAACAGGATAACCAAATAACCTCTGAGATTTTAGTTGGGTTGTTCTCAAACCAAAGAAGATTTTGGGACAAGATTCATCTTTAACCTTATAACTGAGATTAATCATACAATCTCCAACAATAAGATTTTAATGGGTTTGGATTAGAATCACATATATATAATATCTATTTGGACATTATTCAATCAAAGTTTATAAACATAGTTACCTTGGTAAATTTATACAATTCTACCCTTCCATAATTACACAAAAAAACTCACTCACAAATGAGACTTTCCTCATAAAAGTATTTAACTATAAGAACTAGTGAGAGAAAGGGAGCCTCTATTTATATGGAGAGAGTGAGTGTCAATACACAAATTCATGTTCTGAATTATTTGAAATGAGAAATGGAGCCTCTATTTATAGGCTTGAGATTCCCCAAAGAAGGAAATGTCATTTAAGAAAAAATAGTCGTTGCTAATCGATTGACATAATCCGTTGATGTTTGAAAATCAATTGTATATAAGTTCAAAAAAGAAAATATAAGATATATAGTCATTTCATAGAATATGGGTGTATTCAACTTGCCTTGCACCTCAAGTGCGCGCTAATCTAATCGGTTAGAACTTTACTTCAACCGATTAAATAAAGTAAAAAAAATTTTTTATGGCTTTTTGACTACTCTCATCTGTTCTATACAACTTCTATATGTTTTTCAAAGTATTTTATTTTGACAAAACATTGGATAAAAAGGTTTGTGTGTGTGTGTGTGTGTGTGTGTGTGCGTGTGTGTGTGTGTGTGTATGCTTATAGCTATGTACTTCTATGAAAAAGTCCCTTTGCTTTTATATAGTTTCACTCACTTACTATTTTAAGATATTTCCTCTAAGCCTTTATCGGTTGTAATCTTTTTACGTTGACACTTGCTTGAGATCTCTTGAGACTTTTGATAAAATCTACTTTATTTACCTTTGTTTGATAGTCATGTTTATCAAACCTTTATACTCATGGTTTGCATCTTTAATCGCTTAAGTGCATTGTTTAACTTATCAATGGTTGCATATTTACATGATGAATATCTCTGTTATTTTCTTTATAGTTGTCATCATCAAAAGATATTGTCTTGATTTTAAAGTCTATTACCTGAAAAATAAGGTTCCACATTCTCCCCCTTTTTGATGATAATAATGCATCTCTCTGGAAAGGTGGTAAATGATACAAGATATATTTGGAGTGACAAACTTCCCCTGAATTAGATAATATATATACCTTTCCCTGAGAGTATACTTCCTCCCCTTTACCAAAATCAAAAAGATGGATAAAGGATATAATTTTCTAAAAAGCTAAGTATGCAAACATTTGAAGAGAACAACATATCATATTGCATTTGAGGTAAACAGGTATAAGCATTTATAGAGATAGAAAGTATTATTTATAAAAGATAAGCGTCAACAACATCATATAAGATTTATTAGAATATATTGAAACTATATTTTTGCCTTCTACACCCAAGCATGTCATAATAATTTTAGTGAAGAAAAATAAACATTTATTTCAAAGTATTTTCAAAATATATTAAGCAAGGATATTTATGCAAAGCAAGGATAATATGTTTTTAAGCACAAGAGATAAATATCATGTTTAGGCTTTAGTAATAAGATATCACTTTTATCAAATTTTGCAATCCATTGGTAGCTTTTAAAGGTTATGCAAACAAGAACATCAAAGACATTTAAGTAAATATCTCTATTATGAAATGCAGGCTATCTTTTCCAGTTCTATGGTGTTCATAGTTCTATTTTTCACATGGTATCATTGACGTGTGGCTATGATTTCATCACCATTGCTGCATAATCTTCACAAATCTCAATTTGTTCTTTATTTCCTTCATTGATTGTTATCCAATTTCTTATTCTTCTTCCTTTTTTTCTCTTCAACAATATCCATTAAGAGTTATTCGAGCACCATTAATGGTCATGCTCCACCGCATCAATATAATGTATCTTCCAATCTCAATAAAAGCTATAAAAATGATACCTTTAATCCTTACTTCATGCATCCTAATGAGAATTCAACTCTTGTGTTAGTTACTCTATCGTTGAATGCTGGAAGTTACCACTCATAGTCCAGATCCATGATGATGGTTTTACGATCCAAGAACAAGCTCCACTTTATCAATGATGCTTTTCCAAGACCACCAGATGAAGACCGTGACACCATTTCTTGGGATTAATGCAACACGATGATCATGTCATGACTGGATAATTCAATGGATCCTGAAATCTCTCGAAGTATCTTATGGATGAAAACTGCTTATAGCAATATAAAAGGAATTGAAAGATCGATTTTATTATGGTGATGTGTTCAAATATTCAAGAAGTGATTTATACTCTAAAGCAGGGTGATTTCTCTATCTCTTCTTATTACACCAAATTAAAGATGTTGTGGCAATAATTAGACAATTTTCGTCAAATTCCTGCATGTGATTGTGTTATATCGTGTTTAGCTATTGATAAAATTCGTAGTTACAAGGATTCTGATCAAGTTATCAGATTCTTGAAAGAACTGAATGACCAATATTCAACAATTTAATCTCATATCATGTTAATGGATCTTCTTCTCAATATTAGTAAAGTATATTCTTTGCTTGTTCGACGAGAAAGACAAATTGTTACTCCTATTGATGAATCAAAACTTCTGACTTTTCCTACAGGTTAATTCCAAGACAAAGGTTCTTATTTTCGTGGCAGAAATGTTATAGGGGGTCGATCATTCAGTCGTCGAGGCAGAGATACCTGAGTTTGTATCTATTGTGGTATGACTAAATATAGAATAGATACCTTCTTTAAGAAGCATGGATATCCTTCTCACTAGCAACAAGAGAGACTTGTTTATTGGCTTTCGCACCAACCATCTTTGATAAAAAGAAGAGACGTATTTGACGGCTAAAAACAATTTATATGCATTTATTTATTGACTTTCACACTAACCATCTTTGTACCAACAGATATTTTCTTTAATTATATAAATAAATAATTTATGAATTTAATTGAAATACACAGAAGTGTAAAGTTTACACCATCATTTAATGATTTAATCATAGTTATTAAATTTCACGAGTGTTTGATTTTCTTTAATTTTATTCATAGCATCACACATAAATGGTTATGATATATTGGTGGTATAAAACTTTTTAAAGTCACAATATATATCAATTAATCTCATAATTTATTAAGATTGTTTTATGTCCTATCATTTAAAACATTTCACATTACTAATTTTTAATCCAAAAGTGAGAAAGGACCAAAGTTGAGTGATTTTAAAATAGAAAGATCAATTATATAATCATGTAAAAATAATCAAAACTATAATTAAGTAAAAAAAAAATTATTTATGAGTAATAATAAATAATATTGATTGGGACATCGTAATTATTTATAAAAAAATGTTAATTACCCAACATTTTTATTTAATTTAAAACTACTCCCAAAATCACACAGCTCTCTTCAAAAAGAAAACACAGCTACTAACTTGCTAGTTCTGCCTTAAAAAAAATGTACTTGTTGATTTAAATAATTTACACCAGGAATTACATTAGAGCACATACCAGAAATATTTCATTAAGAAACAATATGCCAACAGAACTTTTGTATATTAATTTGTATGGACTATTGTATTATTTGTAAGAATAAACTAAGCTATTAATCAAAAAAAAAAAAAATGCCTTCATTGAATGCACCATCATGATCCTGTAATCAAAAAAATCTAATAAAATCTTAACGTACACTAATTATCCTTCTCTAACATCAATATCAAAATATAATAAGAACATTTTTGGTCACTTCAATAAGCAAATAAATCTTAGGCAAAGGTTGTTTTGTTTTCAGGATGAGGAAGTAATATCCTGAAAAACCTGCAACCTGACTCTCCTTGTTAGCTTATCTTCTCCAGAGAATAAATCCCTTTCACCCGGATTCGTAAACAACGAACGTCTAACCGTTGGAATCCTCGATAAAGGACGATCTATCGCAGGTGCAGCATTATATCCATTCTTCAAGTTCAATAACTCAAGATTTTTTTCATGTTGATAGACTATGTTTGAGTCTTCATTTTCATTACTGAACATTTCAGCACCAAAATTTGTATAGCCATTATTGAAGAATTCGTATTCTTCAGTTTGTTGATCTTCTTCTACCATATCTGCCCAACTCTTCTTCTGAACTGGTTTTTTGTCTGCAAATTCATATGAAGATTGTTAAGCAAGTTACTGTCAATAAAATTGGTAAAACTAATAGTAGTTTTGATATAGATATTTTTCACTACCTTGATCTTGTTGGTCTGTTCTATCAACAGAAGCTGCAGACTCATTGGCTCCATTCACAACTATGCCATGCGGATTTGCATCAGTTTTGTTGTTCTCGTCATTCTTTGTGAATTTCATAGCTGCCTCCGTGTTCTTAGGATGTATCGTACCAGAACCGTATACGGTTATTGTGTTTCCTTGCTTTACTGTTGTTGTAGGTCCATATTTTACCATTGCAGTATCATCTTCAAATGTCCTTGTTCTCCAACTTGCATTGGTATCTGGAAAAAACTGATTCTGTGTTGAGTTTGGTACCTTCTCATTAGGATAAGTCAGAGGTGAAGGTTTAGAATCTGATTTGAAACCCCAAGATGATCGTTTTGGTTTTGCGTAAGGAACCTTCGGATCGGGAGACTCGTATAATCTTCTCCTTGCATGAGAATGACGAGATTCTTCGGCATCAGAAGTCAAAGACCAGTTATTCTCTGTCCTACTTTTAACCATATTATCTGAGTTTTTTCCGCTCAAGTTCTCCGAATTCGGTGTGGAGTATTGTGATGATGACATATTATTCCTCCCTGAAAATCTCTGAGTTTCTATAAATTTATCACCTTTATCTTTGACTGGATCTACTAATGATGCGGATTCCATCTCTCGCAGCATTTCTGTAGCGCGTTCAAAAGACTTGACGAAAGAATCGTCCATTTTTCTGTTTTTCGTTGCCGCGGTTACTGCCTGAAGTAGAAACCTTGCTTCTGTAATCTTGTTCATTTGCATTAAACATATTGCCAAATTGCATTGTTTGTTCCTATCAACCTCAAAGGACAGTGCTTTTCTGGAAGAAACAAATAAGGAACTTTTATTACTTCTCTCTAAACAAAAACAAAAACAAAAATCAGAAAATGCATTTTGATTCCATCTAATAAAATGCTCACCTATAATGTTCTTCAGCAGTTTTATAGTCGCCTTTTTGCAAATAAGCCCAAGCCAAGTTCCCTAGTATCCTCGATATCTCTTGTTCAGCGGTTATTTGAATTTTCTTCCCTTGAGACCTTGCTTGTTTTGTCAACCTTCCCACAAACGTCATACCCTCTTCAATTTGCTTCAACTTGTGATGAAGCATACCGATCTCTTCATCAACCCTTCCCGACCTCTATAACAACATACAATACATACATAAGCTGTTAAACACATGATCCTAAAACTCTTCACCAATCAAATACTAAAGATTTTCGAAAGAAAAGTACTCCAATGCTAACCTAAAAGCAAACAACTATGGCTAGAAAAAACAGCAACAAACAAAAGAGAAACCTTATATACCTTATACAATTCAACCAAGATGTTGTCAAGAGATTCCTGAGAATCAGAAGGGCAGAGATGGCGGAAAGACTTGATTGCTTCGATTGCCTCATCGGACCGGTTCAATTGCTTCATAACTAAAGCCATGTCCTTCAAAGCACTCTCAACGCGATCACCGGCATTAATGGCAGCCCAGAAAAGGGAAATAGCTCTACCCGGATCCTTTTCCACTAACTGTAATCAAAGAATTCACACTCCAAATCATTGAACAGAAAACCAAGAAAGTAAATAAAATGATAAAAAATCACTTCAAAACTTAGCAAATTCAAATTCAAAACTGAAAAATCAAGTTCTTTTTTTCTCACTGCTCACCCTATGAGTCATAATCTACCCATCAAAGAAAGAAGAAAAACTACTGAGAAAAGTAAGAACTTTCTTTCCTTTTCAAAGAATTCAAAGAGACCAACCCAAGAAAAGCATAAACCCAGAAGAAAAAAACAATAAAAATAGAAACTTTAAGGAACAAAAAGTTTATTTACCTGAATCTGTTTGGCCTTAACATAAGGAGAATCCCCAGAAGGAACCTTATGAATGACATGAAAAAGATCATCTTTATGAACAGAAGCAGGTGATTTCTTTCTCTCTGAAAACGGCACAGTGGGAGAACGCAAAGGTCTTGACGACTTCCATGAAGAAGAAGACGGTGGTGTCATGTAGCATCTTGCTGGAGAGTTTCTTTCAAAAGTCATTCTGATCAGAAACTTCTTTCAACCAAAAAGGTAAGGTTGGATAGGGTTTTAGGAAGAGTGCCCCCCCACTTTTTCTTCTTCCTTTCAGAAATGGGTTGAAAGGAAAAGAGAGAAAGAGAGGAAATTTGTTGAGATGAAAGGAAGAGACAGTAACAGTGGTAATGAGTGTTGCAAATGATGGAAAGTGAAGATGAAAAAACGAGAGTGAAAGTGAAAGAAAAATATCTAAAAGAAACTAGCCGTTTTATATTTACTAGCCGTTGTAGTTATTGGGCCACGGTTCATGTTCTCTTTAGCACCTTTTCTATTTGGGCTTTGAGATTGAGCATATTGGTTAGGGTATTTCTTATTCCACCCCCATCTCCAAAAGAAATGTTCTATGCAATTCCTAAAATGCCTCTCAAAAATGTATTTTTGGTTCGCATTTTTTATTTGTTAAAATTGATTTAAAATCGGAAGTATAATTGCGGTTGTAAACCGATAATATATTTCCGGTTTCAATGATGCCAGTTGCAGGTAAAATAAGGCAGGCAAGGAAATGCATTATTTTTCTAGTACTTTCGCATTTCAGACAAAAACTTGTACAAAACATACAACCAAGACAATATATATATACAGTAGTACTCATCACAAAAAATATCAGTGGGCGATACCACCAAAATACAATAACAAAAAACTAAAACCAAAATACAGATACATCATCAAATACTACTGAGTATGGCAGATGATGAGTCAACAAGTTACCTTCTCGGCGTTCCTCCGTTTCCTCCTGTAAAGCAGAGCCCCTTGATCCTCCTTCATGATGGCATCTAGAACACCTCTAACATCGAATCCATCAGAAAAAATACCTATAACAATACCATCTCGCGCAATCTCCATGATACGATGGCACCTAGGCAACACATCAGTAGCATGATCGGCCCTAGTCTGCTCCTCCTCTAGGATCTCCCGGTGAATTGGCCTCGTTGGGTTCGTTGGAGCATCATGTACCATGTATGGATGGGACACCTGGAAGAACCATATCATGTAATCATACTCGTAGCTCGAGTCGTCTAGTGCTACAGTACTCCTGGCCTCATCAGGAACAAGACGATTCTCAAAATCATCAAACAAAGCATCCATATCACTATGTTTCACCGTTAGAGGAGCAAATAAAGTAGGATCACGAGGAATGCTATGGGTGTACTCGAACTAACGCATCACCCGCTCGGGCAATAAGCAGCCCTCTTATGAATCCTATATGCCAACCAACTCGTAAACAACACAACCTCGTCAAATGGTATCGTCACACGGTGGTCGACGTATGAACAAAAGTGGATGTCCTCATGCACCAGCCGATCAATATACACCCAGAAAGGCTCAGTCGCCTGGTTACCTCGGAGCGGGTTGTATGCGCAGGAACGCAACTTATCTTTAGTATAACCCGTAGCAAGTGACCAACCCGAGATGCATGGAAGTGTTAAAGAATGGAAAAACACAAGAAGGGGGGGTTGAATCGGGGTTTTCAAAATTAAAGCAGTAGACACATTGGTTATCCTGGTTCGTTTGAACTTAAACTAATCCAGTCCACTCGCCAAGGTGATTTCGCCTCTCTCAAATGAGGTCTTAATCCACTAATCAAAACTTGATTACACAGATACAATGACTACTGTCAATGTCTTCTTGTGTTTAAACCACAACTCGATTTTCTCAAGGTATTACAAGATAAAACAATTTAAAGTGTGTACAAAGATGTTTTCAAAATAAAACTATATCACAACAGTAATGTATACACAATTGAAAAACACAAGATAGAAAGGTAATATGATTTTTCTTTTTCAGTGTGCAGTAGAGTTGTGTACGATTTCTTCTTCAAGTCTTCTTTATATAGGCGATGCATGAGAGACACGAGAAGATGCTTTTGGAAGGTTGATAAAGTGTAGTTAATGTATTTTCTAAAAGTAGAGATCTTGTCTTGATTCATCCGTTACTTTTGATTTATAATGAATAAATTGTAACGCTTCAGAATATGCTTTCTTGGGATCATATCAGAAGATGAATATTACCGTTGAGACTTCTTTTGTTCTTCCAGAACTTTACTTATCAGAATATTAGAGTTTTTGCTTGCAGCGTTGGTGCATTCAGAAGTTGTAACATTAGAACTTCTTTACTTAAGCGTGTTACACATATTTGCTTCTAAGTATGATGTATCACATCAGAGCTTCAAAAATGCAACTTTCTCATCTTTTATGCTTCTTACATCAGAATTTCCCTGCATATTAAAATACTTTATTAGGGAGCATATTTGTTCTTTATATATCATATGTTTTTTATCATCAAAACTCTTACAAGGATGTGGAATCAAACTATGTTCTAACAATCTTCCCCTTTTTGATGATGACAAAAATTTGTATATTTTGATAGATTACTTAAGAACATAAAGAATTAAAATCTTCCCCTGAGTTGAATACTCAGATAAAGAAAAAAATACTTCCCTGAAGATGTTCTGATCAGAGCTTTGACGCGTCCACGAAAGAAGTTACTTTCAGAGGTTGCTTTTCAATAGATTTTTCCTGTTTACTTTCAGAGGATAAAAATTGAAGTTATGATATTCAAAATATGTGAGACTGAGTCTCGATACTGTTATATTCAAAATATCTTATGTTCTCCCCCTTTTTTTATCAAGAATAAAAAAGCAATAAAAACACGTAAATGTAATAATAAAATGCATTTTATATTCAAAGTGGGAGGGTATAAAGATGTGTGTCTTGAGTTTGGACCACGGGTAAGTATCACGGTCCCTTTGGTTTTATGAAAAATGGATCCTCGTGAGGTCGAGTTCATTCAGGAAGTCTAGGATATAGTTCAAGGAATGAGAGAGTCATCGGGAAAAATTCTCAGAGAGTTTCGTTTAAATGGTTATTTTTAACCTTGTGCTTTCAAATTGTATTTTTAATTTATAATATCATTCATGACTTGCTTACTGTTTAGTCAATATATGCTCTAACTAGCTTATGAACCATTGTTCAACTTTTCTTGCATTTTAAATAATGCAATTGGCGTTGATTGCATAATAATTCTTTTATGTGTCTAATGTATCTTCAATCTGCAGTGTTCCTCTCTACCTTGTTGTTAATGTAAAATACGGTGTTGAAGTTTTAAAGGAATTAACTCCTTTATGGTTTCCGGGCCACTGGTTGTGGCTATACACATAATGATAATCCGCGGTCTTTGAATTGATTTTATTCTTATATTAGGTTGTAATTGATTTTATGTTGTTTTAAGATTTTGAAATATTTTCCACCGAAGAAATTATCGGGTTGAATCGCATACTAGGTCGCTCTTTTTAAGACGTTTTGCGGTACTGTTCAAAATTATGCAAAGCGGTCAAATTACCATGTCGCCTCCAGGATAAAACATCTCAATTCTATATTGTACAATTACTACTTACGCAGTAGATAATTGATCTAGAAATACACCCTCTGATGGTACAAGACCATTCTAATATGGTATCAACACCACTCGTAGTATCTGGTATAAAGACCAGTCATAATAATTTCTCAAACAAAGAAAAACTCAAATAATTCTCCAAAGAGAATTTAATAATGGTCATTTGACCACTCATAATAATTTCTCAAACAAAGAGAACTTCAAATAATTCTCCAAAGAGAATCCAAAAAATTAAACTTGAAAATTTCTTAACTCAAACGAGGAGAAATTAACATAATTCTCTGAAGAGAATTCAAGAAAAAAAACTCGGAAAATTCAACGAGTAGAAAGAAAGGGTAAGAAGTTGGCGCTTCGACAATTTGAAAGACGCGGTGTTATGAGAGTGAGGAAGGAAAAACTATTAAAATAGTTTTTGGTGTGATTTGGAATTAAACATGTGCACTCCTTATATAGTGAGGTAAGCTAGTTAATATTTCTCACATGAGCAATGTGGGACTAAATGGTTTTTCAACCAAAATTTTTTTTAACAATGTGGGACTTAAGAAATTTTTAAATTCAATATATTGGAACATGGACATGTTCCAACAATCCCCCACTTAAATTTAAATAAGTGATTTTAGAAGTAGCGCCAAACGTTTCTAAGATTGTGCATAAACAAAGGTGTCTACGACTAGAATCTTTGCGTAGCAAGTAAGATTTTGATTCAACAAGAGTGACACAAATGTCTTAAACTCTATCTCAGACATCAAACCCGCACACAACCTTTTCTTAAGGTATATTCTAATAGCATGTGATTTAATGGCTCTGCACGTGTATCCCAGTTAGTGAAGGCTCTAGGAGTTCTTCCTCGAAATTTCATAGGAACCAGCTTAAGTTCCACAATCACATGGGTGAATCTATCAAGAGTATTCATGTATCCTAGGTAATCTCTCATACAGAGTATAGATCTCATTAAGAGTTTCTATTATCTCATCCTCTTATCGCCTCGGGATTCATGCTTCTCGTATTCACATTAGCATGATCACCTCATATTACTCACAACTTGTTATTACCCATTAAACTTATTTCTTGGGATCTTCAGTCATTTAGATCGGGTTACCATCATGAGAAACTCATATTCCTATAGGAATTAGTCTCATCTTATATGATGTATTATAGACTTTCTCTATAGCTAATCCTTTCGTCAAAGGATCTGCTAAATTTTCACCAGTGCTCTTACAGCTCCTTTAGAGATACAATCTCTAACAGTGATCTAATTTCTTCTAATTTGACGTCTTTTAACATTATAATAACGATTCTCAATTTTTGCAATAGCCGCAGTACTATCGCAGTTGATCAACACAGCTGGCATAGGTTTTTCCGATAAGGGAATCTCAGTTAGCAAGCATCTTAACCAACTTGCTTCTTCACTAGCAGTCACTAATCTTGTCATCTCAGACTCCATCGTGGACTGAGTCAGGATATCTGTTTCTTTTATTTTCAAGACACAACTCCTCTAGCTATGGAATACATAACCACTAGTTGCTTTATAATCATATGATAAGGTATTATAATCTGCATCATTGTATCCT